AGGTTACTGTTCGTAACCACGGTTCTCTGAAACATTGAGTGGAAAGATCCACCTATGGGAAGGGTATCTGTACCTGACTTCTGCAGAAGCATCCAATTGCACCAAGTCTGGCTTGACAGACAGGAGTAGGGGGGCTGTCAAAAAAATTCTGAATTTCAAATATTCATCGAATTTAAAATAAAAATCCACATTCGAATGTAAAAATGTTGCATTCGAATTTTATGTGCGCGTCAGGCAGCCATATCAGTGGCACACAAGATGCGATGACGATGTAAGTGCCATTGCATTTTAATGTTTTTTTTAGCCTATCCAGTTGAACCCACTAGATGTGGCGCTGCTCATTCAAAATATTGCGGAAAAAGAGAGTATCAATGCGGAGATGATGTTGTTTACGTCAAAACTGAAACCAAGCCGTTCACACAGAACGCATATTTATCTCATTTTCTAGAGGGACATCTATCACCGTTGCACTCATGTCTCGCACAAGAGAGCCACATGTTTAGAAAGTCATATAAAATGAATGCAAGTTCAACTTTTAAAAAAACATGTCTCGAGACTTTATGACAGTTTTTCCCCATCCCACTGCATCTCATGTTTTTAAATGAAAAATTATTCTTTGTGATTGGTTTTCGGTCCTTTGTATTAAAATATACATACATACATGATGCTGTTTTGTTTCAAATTTTTTAAGCATCTTAATAAATTATCTGTTTTTTTTTTTAAACATTATGCACTTTTTTCAAAGATAGTCGTGCGTTAGTAATATTTTGCTCGATGCGCCCTCTTGTGGCGTCAGGAGAGAAGCCAAAAGCTTTTTCCCCCTAACTGAAATTATGCCTTTTAAATTCGAATATTGATAATATTAAAGTACAAAATTCGAATTTAGTTTTCCTGCCATTTTGACAGCCCTGATGTTCTCCTCCATACCTTCTCAAAATGGACGGTGACCACTTTCCCATCCTCTATGAGCCAGGAGCTCTCCTCCACCTTCACCTCGTTGCACAGCTGTCCGTCGATCACAGGCGGTTGACCCTTCAGCCCCACCTTCAGGGAACGCCGCTGTACATCCACCACCACATCCTTCCCCTTCAGACGGAAGCTCACATCGAACGGCACGACCAGCTGCGAGACGTGACAGATCAGACAGCAAGGTGCTTTTATATTGTGACATTGTTTTCATGACAATCTTTCCTCACTTGCCATAATTGCTGAAAGCGACAATGTCTTTATGCAAAAAACATATATGCAGTTTTTTCCTTTTGATTTTGGGTAAAGTATTACCGTGTGCATAGATGCCAATCCCGTGGAAAAACACAGAAAACACAAGATATTCTTTATTAACTTTAAACGATCAAAAAAAAAAAAGAAAAGAAAAAGAGAGATTTGGGAACCTCTCTGATTGGTGGATCTCACATCGGGTCCCCGAGGGTTGTAATACACAGAAATGCCTCTTTAGAGTGGCTAGTTAGTGGAGTTTCGTTTCTTCCGTTCCAAAAATCAGCCAGTAATCTTGAGAAATGCAAGCATCAAATCAGACTTGTTGACCTTCGTTCATTTCATACTTCTGTTATGGAGGGTGGGCACCCACCGGCAGAAACATTATAAATAGTGATGCACTGAAATTTCGGCAACCAAAATAAAGCAATAAGCCCTGTGAAGCCGTGGTTTACAGTGAATTTAACGCTAAGGGGCGTTGTTAGGCACGATGCGAAGACTAAAACCCCCTTAGCTGTTATAAATTCACTGTAAACCACGGCTTCACGGGGCTTATTGCTTTTATAAAACGGTTATTCCATATACGTAGTAAGGTTTCACAAAATAAAACAGAGCAAATAAAGTGTAATGATAATAAAAACAGTATTCTTCCACCAAACAATGTAGTTCCTCAGAAACGGTTGTGGTTCCAACAAAGTGGTTGCCAAGCAACACACAAACGTAAACAAAGGTGTATGTTTGTAGAGTAATTTACAACAGCATCAGAATCAAGGACCGGAACTCTCCGTTTTATAAATATTCGTTCGAAACAGCAAAAAAATTCTGCCGAGTTGTTTTGAAGGGCGCTTCTCTGATGATAAGTTTTGACTGTTTCAGCATCTATTTCATGCACACAACATGGATAAGCTACAACAGTAAAAATGCCGGCAGTGTAGACCATGGTCGGAAACTAACAGTGGCTTGGGGCAAAACTTTTTCAGCCAAAGGTCAAGATTTTTTTTTTCCAGGTCGAGAGCTGCCTGGAACTATGTTCGCCGTGCGTTTCCCTGAAAATAATTGCTTGCACAACTTAGAACGTTCGTCAGCCAATCAGATTCAAGCATTCAACGGCCCCGTAGTATAAAAATATCTAGAATACTGTTTGAAACATGCTTAGTTTACAGGGTAACCGGGGTAACGGCAGCTTCAGCGCCAGCGCCCTCTAGTGCCCAATGTGCGTTTTCATTCTGTGCGTCTCCTTCACTCGCTCCGCCTTTCTTCTCATCTGTGCTCATTTAAATCAAATCGTTGCCTTTTTAAAGTTCAGTAATCATATGAGGCTGTATCGCTGTTTTTCCATAAATAAATTGAAGAAATTAATACATTTGTTATAGGCTACTGTGCAAGTTAAGATGTTTAAGAAATTGTATTTACACTCATGCTCCTAAATACAGTTTCCAGTTCGCACGCATCTATTTTAAGTCGCAAATGCGAGTGAAATGCTTGCACTGTCGAGTCCTGTCAACTGGAGCATAAAGAAAAAAATCAGACTCACGTCCACTTCACACAGCGTCTGAGTCCAGCGGTAGTTTGAGAGGTCTGCTCCGTTTCCAGCATTGGGCTTTATCTTGTCTTTGTCCTTTTCATCTTCCTCTCCTTCTGAGTCCGACTGAGACACACACATCAGAGAGCGTTAGACACTTATCTAGAGCCGCTCAAAAGCACACCATCAGTTCACTTTTCACTGGTATATTTAACAATAATGAAATAAACCCCACTTACCCCTTTTTTGTCTTTTTCTGATGTAACGCCATCTGTTTTCTCAGGTACTCCTGCATTTTTCTTGGCTTCTTTTGTCTGGGAAATAGTGAAAGTCACAGATAAATCACATTTGATGCTTACATGATTTTAAAGGGACAGTTTACCGGAAAATGAAAATTGCGTCACCGTTGACTAACGCTCATGTCGTTCCAAACCCAGTATACTCAGGTTTCATAAAAAATATCTTAATTTGTGTTTCGAAGTCCTATGGGTTTGGAAAGAGGAGTAAATGATACATTTTTGGGTGAACTATGCTTTTGAGGTGTAACAGTATTTTGTAGAGGTCGACCGATGTATCGGTTTTGCCGATTAATCGGCACCGATAGTTGATTGCTGGAACTATCGGTTATCGACAAAAATCCATGCCGATAGTTTTCCGGGTTGCGTCCGTTGCTGGAGCGGCTGAGAAGGGTCTGCTGTCATTATACAATACGAGAGCGGCCTCTAGTGGTTGAAATCACTGACAGCACATGCTATTTGTTTAGACACGTGACACTGCACGCTGAACAGAGCGGGAAACTTCAGACTCGGATTTAAATGCAACCGACAGAAAATCCTGCCACGCCACAGAGCGCCATTCACATAGTTTTCCTTTAAATTACATTATATTGGTCCCGAATCGTTGTTAATGTATATAATGAATTGTGTATTGTGAATTTTCACCAAATCGTTTGGCTTG